GTGCAGGAGATTGAACAGGAGGCCAGCAATGGGAATGCTAATCCCTGCATTGCCTGTCCCCAGCACCCCCTGCTCAGGGATGACCATTCCTGGGAACATGTGAGGACAGGAAAGCAGCCCAACTGTGCAGCACAAAATAGAGAAAATAGTCCATGATTATAGAACTACAAGTTAAAGACTTCACTCACCAACCCAAACCTACTTCTCACAATTCCTAGAGTGTTCTGCTACTCCACTGATGATTGCACAAAGTTGTTCTAGAGATACCATTCAACTAGTAGAATGTCTTTAGCTCCTTATAGATGCACAACCTAGTAATTAAAATTTTAATGTACAGCATGAATAAGCAATTTTAGGCCCCTTACTAGACTAAGAAAGCCAGTACAATGTTTCAACTAAAACATTTCTGTTCAGCCGTCCATTTCTGTGACACATGAAAGGAACAAACCAGGTGCAGGCATTTTCCTTGCACCCTCTGAAGATTGGTGCTATGGTGAAAATCTCCAGAGATAGATCATTGAAAAAGATTTGATTAAAGAAAGGAGAATGGCAGAGGCTTTTCTCAAGCAGTAAGTCTAGCTTTCTGTTACCACATGCAGCCACATGATAATATAATTATAAACTTGTCAACTACTTTGAAAATTTTTTAAGAACTTGTGCAAGTTTCAAATAGAGAATTATGGATTTAATGGAAATGCACTGAATATTGCAATATTAAGAATTTATTTCAAAGCAAGGTAAAGATTTATCGTGCTATTCATGGTATGTTTTTCCAGTACGAGATATATTTAGTAGCTTACAAATTATTACATGTTTCATTTAGAGTTTCTGCAATTACAGGGAAATATTAGCCCCAAATACCAACACACAATACACAAACATATTACAGAAATATATGGAAGCCCCAATCAGGTTCTACACTTAAAAACTGAACTGCCATGCTACATCATACATATGATAAATAATATGTCATGCCCAGTTTGCTCTAAATAAAGATTACTTTGTGGGGTTTTTTTGGTCTTATGCACCATGCATGGTGCACTTTGCACCATGACCCACTATTTTATGGCCTTGTAATAATCTGTTATTCAATGCTTTTTTTCCTTGATAGAAAACCTCAGCTTTCACTCCACAGAGTTTAAAAGCCTTCTTGGTACCATATCTCGTCTATGACAGATTTCACTTGATTGGAGCTGTTTAATAACACCCTATTTTAACTCAAAGCCGTCACTCAGAAGGGGCTGTGATCTACAGGATCTGTAGATCAGGATGTGTCCTGCAGCGCTAAATTCAGTGCTGCATTGAAGCAAACCCTGTTGTAGCATCGCCATCTCGCGGCCAATCTGCAGAGCAGAGCATCTCGGAACTTTCGGGACCTCACATTGGAACCACGCGTTTCCAGGCGGAATTTGGAAACCCCCTACTGAAGAAATTCTGGTATTAGCTGCCTAACTACCTGAAAATATTCTTCAAAACTTTGGGGTGGAATATTTGTGAGGGATTTGAAGTTTTACCATTTTCATTATTCCTTCATGATTCTCTACCATTAAATAATTTTTTTTAAAGCTGTTTTATACCATTAGCATTCCATTTTACACAGTATTAGAGAACAGAGAACACATATCCTGGTCCAACTTTACTTCTTTCTTACTTGAGACACAGGAAGTAAACACGTCTTCTTTAGTTGACAAAGCTCCACTCTAACAAGATAAAACCTGTAAGTCTTGAACTTTAAATCAGTACAGCTAGTCTCTTATTTTATGCTTGTTGCAAACATGCAATGTTTTAACCCAATAGGTAGCACATTCCCCATCAAGAAAATAAACCACCTTCACTTACTACAGTACTTGACATTTGATAAATAGCAATCACATACTCATCATCAAAAATTTGGGATACACATTTGTATTTTTGGCCATTGAAAACTACTCTTAGAAATAACATCCACCTGTCCAAGCAAGTTATAAAAGTTGTTTTAAGTCCTAGAGTATTTGAAAGCTTCTCTCAAGAACAAAATGCAAACTAGTCAGAACCAGGCATCTCCCTTCTCTTCTGTTCTATATTATTGCTCCACACTGCAGAGAGCTTGCTATAACAGAAGGCATTCCTCAAAATCCAATTCTACTGGCCTCTGCAGCACTGAGCAACATATAATCATAAGACCACTGACTTCTTCAAACTAACAACTCTGTATTTGAAAATTTAAGTCCATTTAACATTTATATTAAAAACAAAAAACAAACTCCTCTTCGTATTTTATTCATTCATTCATTCACACAAAATTCTCTATTACATTTAGTTTCCTTAAGCAATGAACTATTGAAGAAAGCTGATCAAGATTTTGTCTATCAGCCAAGACTTGGTCCTTGCACAGTGAACCAAGCCAACCTACCAAATAAATCACACACTCTTTAAATCAGAGCTGTTGCTGCTAAATTAATCTTCAGCACAAGCTATGCCAAAACCATGAACACCTTGCATCATCAGACCAAAATACAACAGCAACCTTGGGTTTTTATTCAGGAGAGAAGCAATCCAGCAGGCAATTAGCATCAGAATTCAAAATTACACAAAACACTGGTAAAAACGGAAACCTGTAACACCCACCCAGTTTTCAGATGAACAAAGCTTTGAACAATTTCAATTTACCATATATTGCTTTGAAATCAATAGAGAGGAGCCATCTGAAAAAATCAAATATATGCTGAAAATGGTAATACAAACTGAGTGATAATCCTCCCCTTATGAACATTCTTCCCTATTGAGTGATGACTTCCCAGCATTTACCAGTGTGAGACAGATAATAGCAATCCTTCTCAGAGACCTACAACACAGTATTTTGAAAAGGCCTCACCATATATTGCAACTATACTTAATTTTGTTAATTCTATTTTGAAAATAGTTTCCTTTTCTCCTGACAGCTCCCTTCTTTGACTTTTTGATCCCTTCATGCTTTCTAAAAGGCAAAACTAACTGCTCTAGGAATTAGGAAAAGCTTGTGAATAAACAGAGTTGACCTTAAGTCCCTTAAAGACCTTAAGAGGATTTTTCTATTTTTAATGGTTGCACATAAAAGCTGTTTCATTACTTTCTAAACATCAATAAATTCAGGGAATTAGACACGTGAAAGTGTGTTACTGTGAGTCTAACTTCATAAGCAAGAAAAGTTTGAAGTCCTAGCAATTCCCAAAAATGAAAGTTTTGTCACATGAGTATTCTCAGAAGGCTCTTCAGAGGGCAATATAGCCCACTTATAAAAGGTTATTCATTAAGGCTTAAAGAATTCAGCTTGTCTAGCTGAAGACTATGGAAAAATACAGGGAGTTCATTATGGAGATACAAGTAAAAATCACTGGTTCAATATCATCATATACATTTTAAAACTTTCAGAAAAGCTGGAAAACAATTACTAAATGCACTCAAACTATAACTGGTTCTTCTACAGAATCCTTATAGTCAATGATAAAGAGGTGATACATTGAACATTTTTTTCATAATTGAAAAAATGGAAACATAAGTAGGTTCAAAACATTTTTTTCTTAAAATATCTTAGAATTATTTGGGTTGGAAAGGGCCTTAAAGATCATCTAAATCAAATCAATCCCTGCCTGCAGGCTAGAAGACCCTGCACTAGACCAGGTTGCTCAAAGCCCCATCCAACCTGGCCTTGAACACTACCATGGATTGGGCAGCCACCCCCTCTCTGGGCAGCCTGTGACAGGGCTTTATCACTCATGAGAAAGAATTTCTTACTAATATCTAATCTAAATCTACCCTCTTTCAGTTTAAAGCCCTTCCTTATCTTGTCCTATCACTACATGACCTTGCAAAAATTCCCTATCCAGCTTTCTTACAGCAACTTTATGTACTGGAAGGGGCTCTAAGGTCCTCCAGGATGAGCAGCCCCAACTCAGCAGGTCTCCACAGGAGAGGTGCTCCAGCCCTCTGATGATCATAGTGCCTTCCTCTGGGCCTGCTCCAACAGTTTCGTGTCCATCTTTAGTGGGGGACCCCAGAGCTGGATGCAGCACTGCAGGTGGGGTCTCAGCAGAGCAGCACAGAGGGGCAGAATCCCCTCCCTCCCCTCACTGCTTTGGATGAAGCCCAGAACATGTTTGGCTTTCTAGGCTATGAGTGCACATTGTTGGGTCATGTTCAGCCTCTCATCCAGCAGCACCCTCAAGTCCTTCTCCCCAGGGCTGTTCTCAGTCTAACAGCATTTGTTCTTTGCAGTTACAAAGGACACTATCAGACACAAACAATTCATGTTAAAAGTACCAAGACTACCACAATGTAAGTCTATCTCATCACTCTAAGGCCCAAACATTCCCCAGTATCAAATAATTTCTCCACTTTTCCCTCAAAGCCAGCCATAAAGACTCAGAGATGTTATAGAAAACAGCATTTAGTCTGACACACAAAAGTACTGTGCTATTCAAAATATGATTGAGCTACATCTATCTACTAACACAGTAAATAAAACTGCCTGTTAACTCCTCCCAAACCTCACACTCAGTTTGTTATCTAAATCTTTAACTCTGTCTTCAAGTTACTGAAACAATCCTGAAAATAACAGTGCTGCATGCTGAAATCATCCAGAGACATATATTGCACATGGCTTATTACATATTGCACATAGATCCTCAATTAAAATAATGACTAAAAACAAACTCAGAATTGACTCTACAGGTTTCTGACCAAAAATCCAAAATTAAACCAACAGCGTGAACTACAGTGCCCCTCAAAAGTACATCCAAAATCTCCAGTTACCTATAGTAATAGGTATAGAATAGTTGTTTTCTGGGCATTTTACTACCATGCATGTCTAGAATGTGTGGAACTAAGTCAATGCTTAAATGTCGGCAAAGTAAATTTCACAAATAAACAGTTCCATAAAAAAAACAGAAAGAGATACTTTGCAAGCATTTTTTTTCCCTACAAAATTAAATTCCTGGGGAGCATACCAAAACAGTCCAGTCTTTAACTTTAAAAATGCTTACCTTTACTGGTGAAATATGAGAATGGGAAACAAATCCATGGACATTCTCGATCTGTGACAGATTCTTCTCCGATACATGAACCAGCTCTGGACCCGTCACCTCATTGGCAATGTGTGGAGAGCTGTGCTCCTGTGGGGGTGTATCTTCATCCTGATAGCGGTATTTCTGAAAAAAAAAATACATAGAAAAAGATCAGGCCACCACAGAAATGAGAAAAGATTATCCAGAAAACCTAAGTCAGACAGAAATAGTTGTTCTTCTGACCTTGCTGACTTCAAGGCAATAAAACCTATAAATAAAAATGTTAATTAGCATTTTTAGTTTAAAGACTGGTCCTATCCAAGAATGTTCCAGCCCTTTTAGTCCCACCTGGGATTACTATAAAGCTACCTAAACCCCAGCAGAGTCTACTATGTCCTTAAGAAATATCCCAACATTTTCCAAGCACATTCACACACTACTACTATACTCCCAAGTACATAAATAGTTGATAATAGTGATAGGGAAAGCATGTCATATTATTAAATGTACAGAAAAACCTTCTAAACACATATTCATTTTAATCTTGGGAAAAGTTATTCCTGTTATTGAAGCATATTTAGGATAGAAAATATTTCCTTAGGGTTTCTTTTAAGCAGAATGTCAAGCTATACATACAACAGTTTAAGCCAAAACCAGACATTTTCCTGGTAATTCTTTTATATATTATAACCCAGTAGATAACTGGAAGTAACCCACTTGTCTGTAAGCACAGAACACTACACCAAGGCAGTATCTGACAAACAGTGCATAACTTCTAACCCTCTCAACAGTTACATGGATTTTCTATTTCAGGTTAACACAAAGATCCATTCCCTTCACCAAAAACACCTGCAACATTACAAAGTTAAGATCTAGGGTAAATGACCAACAAAATTGCTTAAAATGATCTATCAGTTATCAGCTCCTGTAATGCTTAACACATTCTTAACCCAACTGTAAAGTAGAAGCAATTCAAATGCTTCTCTAAAAATACTAATTAGCAAAGAAGCACAAGGCTCTCTTCTTCCAGCATAAGAAATAACTCCTGAAAGCAAGTGTATTACAACTTCTATGACCACAAGAACCCAACTCCAAACACTTCCATACCTCCTCCTCAGCTGCAAGTACCAAAGGAGAGATGGTGACATCTGACAGTTATGAAAACTCACACTGGTTACTCAAAAAGCCCTAATTTTTCAAATTTTTAGCAGAGAGGTTTCATGAGATAATCAACTTAATAGCTCACTACTACCAGAAGATAAAAGTTCTTTTTCTTTCCTTTCCCTGAAGCAGTGAGATGCTGGATTGCTCAGCCTCAGACTGCTGCCATTCATCTTTTTTCTGAGACTGACTTGTTTTTCACTTATCAAAATAAAACCCTGAAAGGAATTGACATTAGCTCTCTAGAGCAGCCATATTAAACATTGGGAACAAAGAAGAATTATAATTTAAACGAAGTGTTAGCCAAAAATTCAAGGATATGTTACCAGAGTATAAATTAGACCACACTGGCAATTAGAGAAAATAAACATTGGAGCTCCAAGAAGCAGAGAAAAATGTCTTGCAGCATCAGAGAATGCAGGAATTCTTTGAGTTTAAAGCAACCTGCTCCACTGATGAAGGCTGTATTTGGCTATACTTATGATCCCAAATGTCCCTAGCAGATCTTAAGCTTTGATTTCATCATGAAATACAGGAAAATTATTTGAAAGTGGATTTAGTTTCCAGATCATCTCAGACAAGATCCTGTAGAAGCCAGAAGTGGATCATTCCAGTTTTCTGTGAGGGCCAGGGTGCACACAACATCCACACAAAAAAAAACTCTGAACACTCTAATTAGTCAAATAGTCACAGGTCAATCAAAACTAATTTCCATTACAGAACAGTTAATATGTTTAGACAAAACACAGAATTACCTTGTTTTTTTTCCTGAAACCAGATATATTTCTTGGAAACAGGTACTTTATTAGAAACAGATTCTTGAACACGACTGAATGTAAACAGGCTCTGGATTTCAGATATAGATATATGTTTACATTATAGAGTGCATCAATGCTTATAATATATGAAGCTTTAATAGCTCAGTATTTCATTATTTTGACTTAAAATGAAAAAATGTTGCGATAAAGAATTCTCCCCTAAAAGGCAGTGACAGGGCCTACAGTCCTCTCAAAAAAAATTTAAAAGTGAACTCTTAATTAGATTTTGATGTAGTATTTGAGACTGATGTTACTATTTGATATGAAGTTGTTTAAGAAAAGACTTAGTGCCACTTGCCAGTTGACAAGGTGGTGTTAGGTCATAGGTTTGACTCGAGGATCTCAAATATATTTTCCAACCTTGTTGATTCTGTGATTCTATGAAGTGCATGAAAACATAATATCCATGCTACAACCTATTCTGAAAGGCGTCCCAGCCCTTCACAGAAAGTACTTTTGAGCAAAGTGCTTTCAGTAAAGCAAACTATTGTATCTTGTAACAGCTAATTCTCCATGGAAGTGTTTCTACTGCTTTACTACAGACCACCACCCCTGAATACAGTGCGTCTCTTGTCTGAGGCAGCACGTTCAAGTGAGCTGGTTGGTCAAACAGCCACCACTCACCACTGCCCCTTCCCTTGCTCTCCCAGGAGCTGCCAGCGCCTGAACAAGAACTCAGTCTGCTGTTCCAGTCATGCCAAGTTAATTGTGCTGCTGCATCCAAAGCCCTGTGCAAGTACCCCTCCATAGGGGTCTAAAGACAAAATTTCACAGTACAGCCCAGCTCTCTCCAAGGGCAGCCAGGGGCAGAAGAAGCATAACCCATTCACTTGCTCTTTGTCAGGCTGAACATCTTCATCTCCCTGCCCCTTGCTGGGAGCACACAGCTGACTTCAGACAGTGAGCAAACTATTCCAGCAGAATGCTTTTTCCCCTCTTCCAGCAGTAACAAATTTTCTGTAGTTCCCCGAAGTGGCTCATGATAAGCTGAGGCACACAGCAACGCTGGCAGAACAAGGAGAAGAGCAGGTAAAGAGTAAGGCCAACCCACCTCCAGCAGCTAGGAGCAGGTCTTTACTCTGCTTACAAATAAGAGAATGCAATCCCGAACCCAAATCCAGGCTCCAAGGAGATCCTAATTTACAAGAGACAGCCTAGCAAGGGACACATCAAAGGAAATGAAAAGGTGTGGCAAAGCAGCTCTGAACTTGCAGACAGTCTCAGCTGCACACCTCCGAGTACTCAATTAGGTAGTGGCCAAGTAATTTAACTCCTCAAGGAGCTTTATGGACTACTTTACAATGTATAACCTTAATTTTAAGTCCAAAGCAACCAAGTACTAAACATTTAACACATACTTCTGACAGAGACACTGCCCCCAATGATTCTGTTGCATAATACAGGTGTGTCAAAATTAATTTAGAACATTTCAGATGCAACATAGTTAACAGGATATTTTCAGGCTAAATTATACCCACATTAAGCTTTGAAATGTCACCAAACTCTAGGTCACTACTACTACTGAAAAATCCATTTACTTTAATAAACCAGTGCTAGTTTGCATGAGATGAAACTCAAAAATGAACCCAATTCACCACAGTGAAACCATTTTTCAGGCCCACAATTTCAACTCTCAGGCCTAGCTAAGTTAGAAATAAGAACTAACAAAGTATCTGCAACAATTTGCACCATTTTTCATAACAGAGATCACCTGTTCACAGCAAAAGCACAGTAAAGTTTTAGGAAACTCATTCTAAGAAGTTCACTTTAGTCTTCTCAATCTCTTATCAGTATTTTAAAAAGAAGATATTTCAAACTCCCTTTCTTCTCCAGACTTTAGCCCTCCCCACCCACCAGCCGTACAACTCCCAAGTTACTGCTCACTTCCAACAACTAAAGCAAGAAATTCCAGGAAAGCACAGCCTGACTTACAGTCTGTCCCTGGGTAAAGTTTACATTTTCACTGTATAGGTCCAACCATGATTAGAAAGAGGTTAAGAATAAAATAAGACTTAAGTGAATATAATAGTTTGAATTTGATAAATATACTAAAGCTCACAGGGACAGACCCTTTCTGAGGCAGTATGAATAGGCAGCATGATGAAACCAAGCAGTATTAGATCATTAGTACACAATTCCTCAAGTTTAAATACTTGTCCTTTTTTAATTTTTCCACTTTACCAGTTAAACTAAATCTTTAAGGACCCTTCCAAAGATCATTCCAGCAACTGAAGTTATTGTGAAGCACTGTTTGACATGCAACACTTCCACTCCTGCATAAAATTACCTGGAAGCAATGTCAAAAACAAACGGCTAGAGAAGACTAAATAGCTTTCACATCTCCCCAGCTTTCACAACTCTGACACCCTTCAGCAGAAAATTACTTCCAACAACTCTAATAACAAAAGGAACAATATAGAAAATTTTGCATACCTTGCTAAAACAAAACTAACCAAAAACTAGTAATATATAAAAGATGCTAATGCATTTTGTACAAATCTTTCCTGTATTCTAGTGCTAAACTAGAAACAAGTGCTTAGGAAAATAACAAGGAAAAAAAGGACACAAAACTAAAGGTATGATCCACTATTGCAGAACTGAAGCCAACTTGAAAATGTAGCTGTAAAAAAATGAGAAGATTATGAAACTGAAATAAAATCTCTTTGCAGGTAAACAGCAATTCATATTGATAAGTTTAAAGGTTGTGAATAACCAAGAAACTTAAGTAATATAAGGAAAGATGATAGTGTCTGTATCTTTTTAGAACTTCTTCACTGATCATGGAATAGGACATTCAGTATTATTTTCAGCTTAGGCATCAGCATATGATAAACTGAATGATTTGCAATATTGGAAGAGGGATTTTGATCTTTTTTTGTTTTTTGCTTTTTCAAACGCAAGTTCAGTACTTTGAGTAACTAGCTGTTTCATTCCCAAATAAAAGCACTAAGTTTTCTCTAATAACTGTGATAAAGACATAGGGCATTTCACCCTTCTTGAACAGTTTCAGTTTGACATTGTATCTTGAATATGACTGCTTATAACATGGTTATTTAGGTCACAGTGTTCCATCATATGTCAAAATGCACAGCTAATGTTAAACTTACTTATGTAATGATTCATGTCATGGACATCCACAAACAATAAAACAATTGAAGATAAGTAAATACATTTACAAAAATTCCAGAAATATTTGTAACAAAGTTCATCTGTTCCAGAAGGCCAAGGAAAAAGAATAAAGAACATTCAGATTGTGAATTGCTTCATGTGATCTAAATAAGGAAAACTGAAAACACTGTTTTGTGTGATTACTTGCATGAGATTAATTGTTTCATTACACGAAGGACTGGTACAGGTACCCTGTATTACTGTTTCACATTGCCATGTAAATATTTACTCAGCCTTCAAAGGCTGTATGTTCTCAGAGGACAAGAGCGTTTTATTTTTAGTACTATCCAGCCTACAACTTTTATTCAAAAACTGACAAGTGCCTGGTGCAGAAGGTGCTGCACTGCCAGCAAGTCACTGTTTGAACAGAAATCCTGTCCGTCCGGGATGCGGGCAGTCGAGAGGTACAAAGCAGGCGGCATGGAGCACGCACTCGGGATTGACAGCCACGCGTGTTTATCCGCAGATAAACACTCGAGCCTGTGTACAATCAGCCCGAACCATACTAAGGATGCTCCCGGCGAGTGATCCCCGCTCGGGAGGCTGCGGCTGCCCAGTGCCCGATGCCCCGTGCCCGATGCCGGGCGTGCGGCCCAAGGACGCCATGAAGGCGAACGAGGCGCGGGAACCGCGCCTGCAGCGCCCCCCGGCGGCCGCCCCGTGCCCGGGCAGCTGCGGGACCGCGGCCGCGCTCGGACCGCGCAGGGACCGCGCCGGGACCGCCGCCATCGCTCAGCCCCGCCACAACATGCCCAAAGTGCAGCCTGCGTGCTGGATGGATATTTTTAGTTTGCTCTTAAAGTGAACGGCATCCCTGCTCTGCAGCTCGACCCAGCCCGAGAGTATTTTCATTCCACGGCTTTCTTCCCAAGTTCATTGTTTAAACATGAGCACATCTTATAAATAAGGAGTGTGCAGTTCCACAAGAAAAAAAAAGAAGAAATCTAAGTGTTATATCAATGGCATCAATAAATAGGAACATATTTCCAACTGAAAAATGCTTTGGACACAGCAAGCATAAGAAGACTTGAAACAAGGCAAAGTCTTCCTCCTGGAAATAAAGTATTCAGCTTCAAGTTTTATAATATTTATGCTATCAAAAGAGCCATAAAAATTTAGATTCCTCCCCCCCAACATAGGTGACATTTATTCACCGTCAAGGTTTTGTCATACATACATACATATATACATACATATATATATATACAAATGCATCACACATGCATATATGTGAGTATGTATGTACACACAAGTGATCTCACTTTATAAAATAAAATCTAGTTTAAATATTTTTTGTTAAAAATAACAAACATGACTTGGAAACCCTGAGTATACAGAGAAAGTTTTAGAGAGAATGATGTCCTAATTTCTGCCTCAAAAGTAACTTCATACACATATCCCTTTAATTTCAAAGTGGCTTTCCAGTACTTAACATTCTCCTCATATTCTTGACATTGCGTGTTAATTTTACTGAAAAGAAACTTAAGAACATTTTTGGCACAACACTGAATAGATGGTTTATTCTGTATATTCTATTCAAATGATATATGTTTTATTCCTCTGAAACCTAAACAGCTGATGTAGTCCTAAAATGACTAAATGCCCGAGGGCACTGTTAAACCCAAACCTGCCACTAACAATTGCTTCCATCAAAATGATGTCAGGAGGCATTTCCAGCCCTGTATCTCAGTGCAAGTCTCCTGTGTATTTAATTCTCTACAGCTGAAGAAAATGAAAGCCAAGTGCAATAAACTGATTACATGATGATTAATGCTGATTAATGAAGAATGACGACATTTTACATGCGGCATTCAGTAAATTCAAAATGTTGTTCAAAGGGATCTTTAAACAGTTGGCATGATAATTCATTACTTCTGACACCATCACTAAGAGCTCGGATAACTGAGTAAGGCATGGAACAAAACACACACTTATTTAACCAGAAATTTAAGGTACAGTTACATTAGACACAAAGACAATCATTCATTAAATGCAGCTTACATTTCCAGGAAAGTCCTTTTATAGACCCACCTTACATCCAAACATTAAAGATATTGTGTTGTTGGTACATGCTACTTTACAGTGGCATAGCATCGGAGAAAAACAATCCAAGTTTTTTATGCTAGGAGACATTTTTTCAGACCCTGTGCACTTCAATCGATCCGTGACTGAGATTCCAGAAAAATGCCTCTGTAAGCGCTGCTTGCTGCCTGTCTTTGACATTTAATCTAGGTCCATAGTGTTCAAAAATAAGCCTTTATATAAATAGGTTGAATCCTTCAGGAAAAATGTTGCTTCACGTTAGAAACCAGATCTTATAAAAACAGCAAAGAAAAAATCCTGTGTCCATTTTTAAAATTTTTGAGTCAGCTTTATATTTAATTACATTAGCGCCAGCTTGAAGTGACAACTGTCTCACGGCCCAAAGTAATACTCAGATGCTCTCAGCCAGAAGCCCGGGTTAGATCCAAGGCAGCTCCACCTGCTGCAGTGCAAGGACCGCTATCTCCTCCATGAAAACAGAAGCAACTCCAGCAGAGCCACTGCTCAGTGTGTGCTGCTTGCTTAGGGGAGGGGCGAGATGTTGCAGCAAGGGACTCGTTACACGGCCCGATAGAGATAAACCCGACGCTTCCTGCAAGGTGCTTTCGCACTGCACCAATGAGCATGTGAAAACCCATTTTAAAATCAGCTGTGTGTAATTATAAAACCAGGGACATTGTAAGCTTAACAGCAGGGAATTTGCTGATCTGCAATTTACACTAGCTTTTTCAAGGAAGTGTCAGCAGACCACAAAATGAATGGCTCTGGGATATTTAATCCTCATTTTCAAACATTAAAAATTCAAGGTTATCTGACACGCCAAAAAAATGGTCTTTAATTGCTGAGTAAAATTCCTAATGGTCTACCAAAAGTAATAAAGAAACAGTACAGAAATACATGAATACTCTCCAACTTCAACACAATAAAACCAGAAACTGCTTTTTCCCTGTTAGCACTATGAAGTCATGAACAATCTGGACTATGTATTGATTTGATTATGAAGAGTTCTTGGTAAAGCATTTCAAACAACTGTACATGTGAACACTTAAGAGTTCGAGAAATAAAGCTTTTTTCCTTAGAATAGAGGTAAATACTGTCATAGTCTCCTTAGAATTTGTTGTTCTTTTTGCGTGCTAGCAAATCTCAGATGCAAAATTTTTAAATCATTTGTTTGGGGTTTGTTTTTTTAAGCAAGCCCTATAAAAGTCAAACTTTATTTCCTTTTTTACAAGTCCAGGGGTCTCTGCAGGATTTTGATCTATTCATGTATTTTAAGAAGTTGCATTACAGAAATTGAAGAAATTGATCCAAAACATGCCCTCTGCAATTACTCTGCTCTTGTACCATAAGCTAACTTGCCTTTGTGAAAAACTTCAATAATATAACATTAGCCATCATTTCTATTTTTTATTGCATTAAGTGGTATTGTAAAGAACTCTCTTTAGGACATAACTGTTCACTTAAGTTTACACCTGTAGCAGTCTTTTGTCGTCTCCCTTTCACTTTGTTTGGTTTACCTGATAAGCACCCCCTGAGGTAGCAAGTTTAGTGTAGTGTAAAATTGGATCCACACTGGCAGCTCAGAAACTAGTAACTTCATGAATTATACTGAGACCGTCATCTTTATATAAATGTGCAGATTGATGAAACCAAAACTAAGGCAAGATGTCTGGAGAAAAATGTGTAACTCAGCCCACAGTAAACCTCAAAATAAACTTCATTTGCATGAGGACCTCGTTCTTGGTAGACTCTCCAAGGATTACTGATGACAGTATTTCCATATTAATAAGCATAGTTTTCTTTCCACCACGTGCTGTGACCGACAATTTTTCACCAAATAGCCTTAGACATGATTTCTTGCAGTAGATCATCTTCTGCATGAGAGTGCAGCAATATGGGCAGGAACAAAGGAAAAAAATCTAACTCTGAACTTAATTGTCACAAAACAAGAAAAAGAGGGTAAAGAAACCAAAAATGCACCTTCTTTGTCTAGCTAAGTTAGAATATGTTTTTCTTGCAAGAATATCCAAGGGTAAGCAAGGGCAGTAGAAAGGCTGACAGAGGAATCTAAAACCCCTTTCTGTTCCTTCTGCTGGATGGGGGTCCCAGTAAGCAGACTCCTGACTGAAGAAACAGGGCAGAGCACATACTCGAACACCACACGTGGAACACGGCACGAGGGGAAGCAACACAGGCACACAGCGCTGTCTTGCAAAACACAACGTTCCTATCCCACATAACAACCTTTTCTGTGCACTATGGATCGACAATCCATCTTACTTCCACACCTCTAATCGTATTGTAATAACGTAATTTCTCACTGAAATAACACACAGTCAAATGCATGGCAATTTCATGACAACAAATAAATTCAAAGAGCCAAAAGCAGTTCTTGAATGTTGCAGAAATAGCTTTTTGTGATGCAGAAAATATAAGCTCTAATGTGCCATGGGCACAGAAGAATCAATAAGAGGAAGATACAGTCTACACATGCACAAAGGATTCCATCAGTAAGATACAATAAGGAAGAGAAAGCTTAAGTAACTTCAGGCAATTACATCTACATTGTTGATGAAGACCACATAAAACATCTGAATCTTTCAGCCATACATTTGCAGCTGTAGATAAATAAATTGGTTACACTACAAAATCATCTTGACCTTCATACAAAGATGAAACTTTGTACACATTTGCCTGCCCACAACCTTAAAATACAAGGTTGTGTAAGTTTAATTGCTTAAACTTATAAAATTAAAATATATTCTTATGTATTTTGCTGACTGAATCCCGAGATTTAACTGTAATAGTTTCACTTGTTTAAAACAATTATTTGTGCTCAAAAGCTCTTTAAAACAGAAGAGCTGTTAACATAAATCTTTCTGAAATATGAATATATAGTATCTTCTGTATAGAGAAACAAATGAAACAGAAGATTTCCAACTCTACTTTTGAGCTCTACAGAAACATATTCACACTTAATTATTGCTCTGATTCAAACTGAAGGGTGAGTTAACATTTCAAAACACAAAAAATAATGTATTAACACAATGACTAAGCTGTTAATTAGAAGAATATGGCTTTAAACTACCTATCACTTCTCATTGCAAATTTATTAGTCTGTATTTTGTATTATCACATAAAAGCTCCTACAGTCAGAACTCACCATTTCCATGTTTCCTCAAAAGTGTTCTGAGTGAAAATAACAGGTTTCATCCCTACAAAAGCACTACCTAAAATGAATGGTCTTTATTTCAGGCTTTGTTTGAATGTTTACTTGGCAATAACCCATCTTTATGTATGGCTCCCACATGCACAATAAAAATACCCACCTCATTATGATCTTCAATTAGTGAGCAAGACTAATTCTGTTGTCTTAAAATAAGAAATCTCCTACTTCAAAGTCTCCCTGAGCACTAATATCAGGTAGAAAGAAACAAGAGCTCTATAGCATCAAAAAAACCACACTAAGACTTCCATAAAAACTCAGTGCTTCACTTCAGTACTTGCCAACTCTTCTTGATGGAACACAAGCAGTACCGATTTCATCGATCCATGTGTTCCATCTGTATCCTCAATACAATACAGGTTAGGAAACAGCAATCTTATAAGCAGCAAGACCTGGAGCTTTTAATTAAATGAGCAGTGAAGGTCTTACTTGACAAATGTACCAACTGTCAAACCAAAGGTGAAAAGGCTTCAAAATTCTTCAGACAGAGCATGTCCCTTAGGTACCACTGCAGGCACCTGTCAAGCTGGTGGGACTCAAGCTTAGGTGCCCCTTCCCCAGAAGCCTGAGTTGGTACACTTCTGGGGTATGTAATAAAATCCAATTTTTTACAAAATACACTGAATTACTTAAATCTAATAAACTTATGTTATCCTCTTTTCTGCATAATTGTAGTCTGCAAGGTCTTCAAAGAGTATACAGAATTCAAAAATTATAAAGAGCTCTACAAAACAGTTTGGATGCTGGTTTAAGATTACCCCATACTAGCACAGAACTCTAATGTAATGTCTGCCATGATTTCTTACTCAAGGAGTAGTAATTTTATAAGCAATTTCTGTAAGGCAAATGAAATTTGAACACTAGTTTGAGAACAACTGATGTCTGGTGCAAACTGCATCCATCAGCACCCAGGAAGATCTCTGGCTCTGCAGTTTTACTCCCTGAAGTATCAGATGACCATCCAAGCCAATTTTGAGAGAGTAGCCAAAAAATGTACTGCTTGTTCCTGCATGCTTCTAAACTGCCAAAAAATCATTTGCACAGTTCTTTCAGGCAAAGAGGTTTATAAACTCAAAACACTGAAGTGAGTTGATATTCCTCCTCTAAAGGGCATCTTTAGCAGGCCTCCATAGTTTAGAAACATGGTTTTGGGAGCCTGGCAGGTAAGCATGTTTGCAGGAGTTAAATCAGCAGCCACTGCAGCATGTCCAGTTCAGAATGCTGATGTACATATATCCTTTTCAAGAAGCTTAATATTTTCATATAAAAAATTTGCAGAATATAGCTGTCTGTGTCTTAAGTTTCCAAAACCCTGAAGAATTCCACAGCCTCGTTAACTTCAGAAGGAATCGGAAATGTTACTTTGGAAAGAGGAAGCTGATTAATATTTGCCTTTTTTGTTTTTTAAACTTGCCCTGCAATGGCATTTAAGCCCAGAACAGGTCCTATGAATAGAAACTTTTCAGTGGGTGTTTGTGATTTTTCTCCCAGTTTATTCCAAGTCTTAAATTGTTACATATAAGACAGATCTGGGACATCACTCCAATGAGGTCCTTCGTAAGCCTTGGTAAGTCAAGCCAAAAAACCAGGTAAGACTGTCTCCCTTGCCAATTGAGTGACCATCACTGTGGACATTTATATAAGCTTGCTTTAGGAGTTTTTCAGTCCAAAACAGAGGAGGAAAATATAATGCCATATTGGAGAAAGAATGCAGAGATGCATTATCATGTCTTCTATATTCAAAAATAATCAGGCTTCAAAATACGTGGTGACAGACTGAAGAGTGTTCAGAAGCAAAACTTCATGAAAAACAGACTTTCCTGACAATTACCACTGAACAGAGGTCCTACATATTCCAAGTGTGATTTCAAAGATATTCAGTCATATCATTCATCTGTCAGTTCCTGCCTCTTAGTAATTCTAACACTACAGTTTAACTTCAGCCAATCTGACTGGAGGAATAGAGGTCTCTGAGGATATCAATTGTGAGCAAGTTTCTCAGAAGTAGGTAGCCAGCATAGAATAAACACCAAAAAATCCCCACCACAGGAAGGGGAAACAAGTGAGAAGGTAAGGCTACCTAAGCAACAACAAGCAGAATTTATATAATGAGAAAGTGATTAAGAATATCAAAGGGGGAAAGTCTAGAAAAATGTTAAATAGGCACTGATATTAAAACACAAGCAAAGCTTGACAAAGTTACAGGTAGTCATGTTTTGTAAGGCAGGCATAAAGCCATCACATGTTTTGGAATTAAAAATGTCCT